CGATCATTAGCACATGTAATTTGCGAAGGAATTTGGTTAAAACGCCTTCTCACGGAGCTCAAGATCAAGACTGAAGGTACTATAGAGGTACTATGTGACAACCAATCTGCCATAGCCATCGCACGAAATCCAGTACATCATGATCGGATGAAACATGTTGAAATAGACCGTCACTTCATCAGTGAGAAGATTGAGATGCAGACAATTAACCTAAGATATGTGTCCTCCCAACAACAAGCAGCTGATATATTAACTAAGGCATTGCATCGAACCAGCCTTAGTAGATTGATTTCGAAACTTGGAATGACGAGCATATATCATCCAGCTTGAGGGGGAGTGTAGAAAATCAAGCTGAAATTTAGGAGAAATTACTTTAAATTTATTTCCTTGTATACTATGTGATTTAGGCTTTCCTTGTAGATCTAGATTGATACCTAATTTCTAGTTTTTGATGGAAGGTAAACTTGTATATATTTTTCATTCTATAGTCTTGAGAAATAAGAAGAAAAACTTTCTCATATATCTTCAATTACTTATCTCCTTAAAAGTTGCAGGTTTTCGGACCTCTTCTCACTCCCGTTGAAATAAAGAAAATGAAATTACTTGACCGTGTTGAATATGACGAAAGCGGATTTAAGTTTTGTTCTAACTCTTTTTGATTTTCTATATTCTAACCATTATAACTTTGTAATCTTCCATTCTAATATAAAACCTTAGTGTTTTAATTTGTTTCTTTCTTTCAGAAAGATTTTTGTCCATAAACTATATATAAAATCTAGTCCACCAACATATATATGTATATATTACTAATATAATTAGTAAAATATTATCGTGAAATATCTATCAACCAATTAAGATATAGCATCACACCAATTCAATTAACATTAATATAATAAACATATTACATCGTTACTATATTAAACATTAAAGTTATTAAAATTTAAAGACTAAATTTAAATTTACATTTTAACAAAATTTTGAACTAAAAGTAGAAATTTCAAATAAAATGGAGGATTATACATTGAAAATAATAGAATTCAAAGGTTGACTAATAATAAAGACTTTGGCCTTGGGGCTTTCCAGGAAGTTTGCAGAATTCTATACCCACTCCTCCCTCACATCACCAAACATTCCACTCTCTAAGATTATTTAGTCATATAATAAATAAATTTATATGCAAATTTTCATATAAAGCAGGCCATATTTTTTAATTATATAAAATATAGAAAATTGCTTAGTAGTTCTTAGTAGTTTATTATAATTTACCTTCATAGCATGTTTTTCATAATTATTGGAATATATTATCAACAATATTGATAGGTAAGATTATTCATATTAATTTTTTTTTTTGACAAGGAAATTTATATATCAATTATTTGTGGGTATATTTGATTATGATTTTGTTTTTTTATTTTTTCCAAGTAACG